TTCTCATTCTTTTGCTCGGTTAGATCAGCTCCTTTTGTCAGGATGAGTTTAAATCTGGGTCCACTGTGTTAATCACCCCCCTTTCTTCTTTCTGGCACTTACCCTCCAGGCATTTTGCCTCTTTAGGAGATTAAGCGACCAAGTCATCTTGTTGCTCTAACATGTCCTCACTGGAGCAACATATTAACACAACTCCTCTGCAAAAGAGCCCTCTTTAGAAGTTTGCTGCAGGGATGACAAATTAACCCAGCATGGTGTCCCACACATCTATCTCAGTACAAATTATTAGTGTAATAGAGCTTTTAGTTATGCATTTATCTAGTAATTATTGAATGGTTATACAAAACGAAGCTGAGCAATCATGGCCCTTTATGAGGCAATCTCAGTGGGTGGTCTTACAGTTAATTTAGGGTAGGACTGTCTAAGCAGTTCACTCACACACAAATTAGCTGAACAGCCTGCTCCTTTAAATATTTCCTATGTCACAGGCTAACTCTTGACAATACAACAAAGGTAGAGTTTTAATTACACGGTTCCTGACTTTTGTTTAGCTGAAGCTTTAACCGTTTGCAAGCCTTCCCTCTCTGCCCTCCCCTGCCTGGGATACGGGAGGAGATGGCAGTTTGGGTAGGGTATCTCCTAATTACTAAACCCTGACCTTGAGGCCATCTGTTAGGGAAGACTTTTTCCTTCAGCATCATGTTATTTCAAAGGGATTGGAGAAAATTAAAATCTTCACCTACACACTCAGCTCCCCTGACATTGTAAACTCGTCTGTTGGTCAGTGTTAATGCCACTTACAGTTTCTGTTCAACTTTCTTACCCTTGTGGTGTGGCTCTCTCCTCTTTCAGCTGTCCTACATTACCATCCGCTCATCTGAGGTGTCTACATAGGAATGAAGTTGTACTGCTTGGTTTTTGTCAGAACTCAAAGGAAAACAGAAGGTTATGTTAGTCTGCCAGCTGACAGCATCGAGGAGCAGTCATGGATAGTTGTGTGAATAGGATATTATAAAATGTCCTTTTACACTGTGTACCTCTGGAGCGAGTTAACAGGAAACATCACTTTGGCTTGGTCGAAGCTGGTGGACTGGTCATCTAACAGGGACTGATACTTTGGTGACCCTGTGGAGAACTGCGATAGAGAAGGGCACAAGGTCTTCCCAGATAAGGGACATAGTTGGTGCCACTTTGGCATGAACAGAGAGTAGTACCCTGCAAGAGTTTCCCTGAATGGGCTTGTCCTGATAAAAAATCTAAATGGCAATGCTTATTATGGAGGAAATTAATATGATGGGAACCACTCCACTGGTTGACTTCATCCCTTCTTCTCTTTCTGCTCACACACCCACTTCCTTGGATTTTTCCCTTTGTGCTGTATTTCTTCTTGCTTGCAATTGTGTTTCTCCTTCATTTATCTTCCTAACATACCATCCCATTCTTAGTTCTTTTTCTTTCCTTGCCTTTTCTTCCTTGTTTTTTTGGCTTGCAGGATCTATGCTGTCATATTCTGTGGAAATGCTTGAATGCTCTACAGCACAGGCTGCTGGCTACCCTAGGTTTACAAGATCGTGGTAAATTAAACATTTCAGCCAGCTCCAGCTATAAAGTCACTAGAGTGTAAGTAGCACTATATGGAAGCCTAAAGCCACTTACGCAAGTATTGCTGTCACCCATAGCATCTGAATCCTTCACTGTCTGGTAAAGAGTTCAAGTGGGCTAATGTCTTGGAAACTTTGTAAGACGGCAACAGGTACATGGTGGCTTTGCAACACTGTGGTGAGTTACACTGACCACCAAATACTCTAACTTGCAGGTAACAAAAGTGTGCTGTGTAGGAGATAGAGATCTAACTGCTTGAATTTTCAATGCTTTGAAATAAATTTGAAAACTGATAGTGATGCTAAAGCCACCCTATAGGTGATCAATTTACCATCTGCCAGACACTGAATCCTAGCCACGCTGGTCCAGAGAAGACATATGGTGCATTCATAGAGTCATGCCCAAAAAACTGCCATCATCAAGTGAGGCTCCATGAATCACTTTGCTCGCTTATCACCAAAGAAACTTGGATCTTACCACCATCTGTTGGAGCTACTGAGGAGTCACTGAAGCATTGGCATCCATGCGCCAGCACTCACTGCACATCTGGTCCTTTGGTCAGCCAGCTCAGATCCTCTCGGCTGGCTACTGCCCAGCTGGGTTGAGTACTGGCAGGAGCACCAGTGCAGACAGGAAACTAGTCCACAGGCTTCCACAACACAGTATGGACAATTCCATGAGAACAGAGGTTTTCCAACTGGTTCATTGAATGGAGAACCTTATAGCTAAGAAATTCTCTCAAGGATCTACTCCTCTTCCAAGCAAGTTTTGTTTCCCAAATGACTCACTGGGAAGGGCACTCAATATCCTGGGATACCCCAGCATAAGACATGCACTATATTCTAAGGAATGTTTGGAAGTGTGTGAAAGATTTGGGAATATTCCTGAGAAGTTATAAATCACTGGTTGTCAGTGACAACACCTGCCATGAATAGTCTGCAGCTTCTTCTCTGCTGTCTATTTTGATCATGCTTTTACAAATGCATCTCATACACACATCCAAGTGATAAACTTGCACATATGAACATCGGAAGGAAATTGAACCTTCTTGTAATCATTCAGTTGGCTGAGGAGCTTACTCTGATGGTGACCTACTTACTCATGACTTCCCTGTCTCTGAAATCTCTGTAGACTGAAGATTAAATCTTGCTCTTACTTTTTTGGATACCAATCAGAATGACCTGCCACTGACCACTTACATACTGCATATGTATCCAAAGAGAATGCAACATGTGTACTGTATTATATCTGTCATTTCTGCAGAAAGATACAACTTCCAGTAACTACTGGTGGATATGAATTGCTCAAAGATTATGTCCTCTCATACAATGGCATTATAATCTTTATGTTGCCACTTCTGATACCTGAAAAGCTTCTCTTCTGCTCACTGTCCTAAAGTACACTGGAGGCAATGGGATAAAGAACAAAGCTGGATTTGCAGAAAATAATCCATCTCAGTATATGACCCTTTGCAAACAGAACGATTGTTGTAGAAGGGAAATAAACACAGACAGTGTGCTGTGGGAGAAGAATACTGAAAAGGAATGTCCCAGAAGAACAAAGAAAGAAGTCTGGAACAAGATTTTTTCCAGGATGATGACACTTAAAGAATCCATGGATGGATTCAGAAGGATTTTTGCTCAAAGTCTGAAAGACTTTGTTTGCGAACAAGAATATAATAGAAGATGCTTCTAAAATGATGGTGCAGAAGAACAGTCATGGTTAACCTGTTAGGAACCACAATGACTAGAAACTGTGTTACTTCTTTATGGAGTTAGTAAAGGCATCTCCTTCCAAACAAATAAAATTTGGGAACTGCAGTCATTGTATCTGCTCTTGCAAATTCTGGCTGTCTTTGAATGCCCTTCTCACCTAGCTGATGGATATCCCCTGGTGCACAGAAAAAAGTCTGTGTGAAAACAAACTGTAGATGAGATAGATTTAAACAAGGCCTCACCAGTGATACATTTCCTCTCTCAACCACACAAAAAGCCAAAATACAGAGGGTCTAAACAGGGGCAGACAAAAGCATTCAATGATCTTGAAAAATAAGTGTGAGGTAAAACATAGCTAAATAAAGAAAAGCCTAGTAAGTAATTAATCAACAACCCAAATGTAAAAGGCTAACCTTCTAAAAGACAGGAATTCAGAGTCAACTGATGTGCACTAAATATAATGTTAATGGAACATTCATATTATTCATACTTATATCACCAATTAGTAAGGCTTTTAAAAGAGGATATGTTTGCCAGATAGCTCAGGGTCAAATTTCAAGGGAAATCTGTGTAGGACTTAGATGCCTAAATATCTTCTGAGGATCTAGGTGTGTGCCTAAGGGTAATAAATAATTCTTAAGGGATTGACCACAACAGATCAAACTACAACAAGCAGATTTAACAAAGCCCCAAGCCCCATGAAGTGCAATTCTGACCTCACTTCAACTTAGTGCACTAAGTCCACTACTTCACACTGCATCACCTGGACTGTGCAGACAAAGAGGCTCCTCATGGTTTACACTGTCCTTAGTAAAACCACACTAATGCCAAACAGCCATTTCAAGATAATTTCTGGTATGGATTGCTAATATGTCTTTTTATGCTTCACTATTCAACCAATTCCTTAATAATCTTCTCCAAATGAGAAAAAATTTCACAGCAGAAAGAAATGTCACAACCATTCATTCCTATTTTTTATATCTTCCAAAGAGGTTTGTAAGAAGATTGATTCATTTGTGTATATTACTATGCCCAAGTGAGTTCCTTTTCAAATGTATTGCATTCAGTTTCCTAGGCTAAATGCAAATGCATCTCTCTAACAGAAATGTATAAGCACATCCAGACCCAGAGGACATCTCTTTTAGTTGGGAAGTCAGTCAGAAGAGTACTGTGAAGGAAACCAGCCAAAGCATTGCAAGAACCAACTTCAAAGGAGTCTCCTAACAAGGCAGCTCTTTAGCACACTGATACAAGACGAGCACTAAAGGACTGGCCAAAACAAAGCCACAGTGCTGGAAGGCAGGCATGGTTCAGAATGAGTGATGGGTCCCTATCTTGAGCAGTTAGACTCAATCTATGGTTATGAATGGACACAAGCAGAAGACACTTTCTGTAACACACTCTGTCCTTTTCCCCACCCTTTTCAAATAAAACCCCAAGCTCCCAGAAACCACCTTAGGCACTCTTGAATGATCATCAGGAGTTTTACCAGACAGCCCAGCCTAGCAAAACCAAATGCAGGCCTTGACGACTAAAACCTCCTGGTTATCGAGCTTCTGAAGCACAGCCCCTCACTGAGTGGGTCACACGTGGCGATGACTTTCCATGGGAAGGCGCTGGGATGGACACTGGGTGTCCTGGCTAATGTTTAAGCTGCCTGGGGGCTCTTGGGTTAAGCCTCACCTCTGGGTCCTGTAATGACAGGTCGATGGTGCTGTGTGAAAGCCGTTCCAAGGGAGGAGGTCTGCGAAGGCGAGGGACTGCTGAAACCAGACTTCTCTGACTTCTTTAATGTAGTTGGCGATGGCATTCCTGGCAAGAATGATTGATAAGTGCAATTTAATAATGCTAGGTCATGGAACGACAGCCTATGCATTGTGAAAGTGGGTGCAGAAGCAGCTAGATAAACTTAAAGGACAAATGAAACGGAATACAACAGCAAGCTGAAAGCTCACTTTTATTTGTGGTCTTTTTGTTTGAGGCAGAAGAGGCCATGGTTTGCTCTGAGCAATGAGTACTAAAAGGCAGCCATATTTTTCTTTTGACTCTGAAATATGGATAAGATGCAGTTTATTATTGCTACTGAAACCTACTCTGCTTTATTTTTAGCAATCTGTAATAGCTGGAGCATTTGGATTTTTACAGGCTTTTTATGAGTTCTGTCTTTCACTCACTGGTTTAGTAGATTATTGCAAATGGATCTTTCAAATGTGCTGCACGACTCAAGGCACAAGTAGAGAATGAAGTTTTCTGAGTTCAACCTCTGCCTCTCCTTACTCTCTGGACTTCAAAGGTGTTTGAAAGTAATATATTTATGTGGCTCCCTTTTGCTTTCAGATTTTTTTAAAGGGTGAATGGTATTTGTGTCTTGATATTAGAAGCCACACTGGAATTATTTCAGAGTTGTTATTATGCCCTTGAACTATATCAAAGGCTTCCAATGAAAATCAGAGTTAAGTTGCTATCGGGTGAAACCTCTCCCGTGGACAGGCAGGACTGGTGTAACAGTAATAGGACCCGTTGGTTATACTCTGTAAGAATAACTCCTGTTGGTAACATATCAAGCCCACGGCACCAAAGAAATTAGTGGAATGAATGTATTGCAAGAAGCTCCTAAAATCCAAGCCTTTTCAGCATATGGTTTATGCTTGGATAATACAGCATATAGATGGAGAATGCATATGTGTATCTCTATTATTTTTTATATCTTCATAGTTCTAGAGGCATATGGGCATTCTGATCATCTGCACATCCTCTGAAAACACAGTATTTCCAGTATATGCAGTGCATCAGACATTTTGCATATCTGCAGGGATATAGCAAAACAAAGGTACAGAATAGTTGAGATTTCAGGTGCAGAAGCCAGGTATCAGCTAATGTGGAAGCTGAACTTCCACTAGTAAAGTCATTCCACCTTATTTCCAATGCTGCATTTTATAGAATTTAATTGCTAAAAAGTAAAGAGAGAGGCCTGGACAATATTATCTTCGGGCAATATTATTAACTTTATATTTAATAGCACTAGTTTTATAGTCCCTGGGATGTTGATTGCAATATGCGGGAGCCTTCTTGTACTTTATATGCTGCTCTGCTGGGGTCCTAATGGTTTCAGTGAGGCTTTGCAGTTTATATTCCAGAAAGTTAAATAAAGGAAGGGAATGGTTAGAGTTCAAGTGTTGTATTTGCAGCTTTCTCTCTTGAAACTGTTTGCTAAATGGGTTGGTTGTGGTGGCTTTTTCCTCATAGCAAGAAAGGTTATGTGCTTAATCTTGTAAAAATAAAAGTTTAGAACTGATGGATTACTGTGTAAGAAAAATACTGTGTTGGGTATTTTTCGTATTGGTCTTAAGGACTTTGGAGTAGGGACAAAAGCGAAGTTGGTTCATTTGGGGGGGTAAGAGAAAAGGAGACTGAACTAAGGTGTTTCAATGAAATATTCCAATGAAGCCAGCTGATTTTTTTGGTCATGTTGGCGTGTAACTTAGTTATTGCTCTGTGTTTGAGTGTCCATATTCAAGAGAAGGATGCTCAAAAGAAGTAATGGTGCTTTTGATCCACATTTCCTTATGATGGAGGAACTGGGGATGGAAACACCAAATGAGCATCAACCTCATTCCTAAACGTAAACTCAAGGGTCAGTGGCAATATTTGGGCTTAAGGAGGGGTAGAGGAACTGTGCTGCTGGCAGCGAGGCCATGGGTACGTCTCCTTTGTGTTGGGTTGTGGAAGGGGAGAGGTTTGTCCCCTAGAATGGTTTTAACACAGTAGGCTTCATCCCTGTAAGTGCAAAATATCATGGACAGAACAAGGACTCTTGATGCACCGGGATTATCACAGTAAAATATGCCTGCTAGTGAACTGCTCTAACTGCAAGGTTGTGCAGCAGTTATGGGGATGCACAAGGCCCTGTATGGAGCTGATGGTTGTGCAGCCCATGAGCAGCAATCCAGGATGGGACATGAGTACAGGTACTCTGGGGAGCAATGGAGGTCGTGGAAGGAGTAAGATCTCCACGTCTATGCAGTATGGTTCAGATGGCTCACAAACTTCCTTCTTTCCCTATATGCTCTTCAGGGTTATGGGGAAGAAAGCTTCTGAGAGAGTGAAGAAGCTATTCTTTTACCTCCATGCTGAAAAAACTGCTTGACTCATCTAAACCACAGAAGGAGGAAGGGGCAGAGAACAGTGGAACATGGTTTAAATCTGTTCATGTGATTGTGTCCAAACACTGGAACATTAGGAGCTACAATGAAGCTGAGGGATGACCTTGCACTGTGGCAAGGCTTAGTAGTGTCATGGTCATATGGGGATGGATTTTATAAAGATGAGGCAGGAAGACAAACTGAAGCACTGATAATTGGTTCCTACTTTTGCTATATTTGTTTGTTATCATGGCTCTGAGTGCCATTATTATCATCACTACTTTGTTTTTATTTCAGAGTATTCTGCAATGTATTGGTTTGGAGCAGTCCAACTCTACCATGTTTTGATTTTGTTTGAGGTTTGTAATGACACATTTTAGTTTGAGTGATCATATCCATCAGATCTCGAGACAAAAATGGCTGCTTCCTAGTTCAGAAGAATATGCAAACAGGAGCTTAATTACATCACTTAATATTGACCAAGAGAAAGAATAAGATGAGCTTGCCAGCTCATTTCCAAAGCATGTTTTGTCCTTTAAGAGGGGAGGGTATGACAGAAAGTTAGGCAGTGCAAAGCAATTAGCATCATTCACATTTTATGTTGCGCCAGCATGGTGCTCTAGCAGCAAAATTCAAACATTCTTTGAATGGGTTAATAAAAGAAGAAATACAGTCGGCATGCAAGAAAAAGGTTTCCAAGAACAAGCCAAAATATGTCCCATTCTTCTAAATTTATCACAGCCATGTCACATTATCCTTGAGACTGCCAGGAATGTCAATTTTTTTGCAATTTAAAAAAAAATATCTCATTTAGCACCATATGTTTGGTTAATGTGCCTGATATATCCTGCGTATTCTTTAGTCCATCCATTTCTAATACTCATTTTCTTTTTTTCCCCCTTTGCTAAGCCATATGTTACAATGCTGGTCATTCTATCGAAGCTGCTTTCAGGAGCTGAGAGTGAGAGCAAAGGGAACTCTGGTTTAATCACCCAGAAAAATTCCGAGCTGCTACTACAAGTCCCACTCTTGGGTAAGCAGCCTCAACACTTGAGTTAGCATCGTAGGTGCCCGGTGCCTATGAAAATCAGGCCACCTATGAGACGCCCTGGTGTGTGTTAACAACTGTGAGGCAGGAACTAAGATAAATGACTAAATATGGCACTAGGTGTTTAATTTTTGGCACCCATGTTGGAGACTCTTGGCTAGTTTTAAAGGTCTTCTGTTTTATACCTAATGAGTTTTAACACGTTTAGTGGTCCCCAGTCCGCAGCTTCCCCTCCTGTGTTGCTCAGGGATGCAGGAAATTAAAAAGTTAAGCTGAAGCTACCCTGGGCAGAGCCCAGGGAGGATGCTGCTGCCTTGCATGGCTTTCCTCTGCATTGTTCCCATGAGCCAATGAATACTGGGGACCACTGCACTGAAGACCAGATTTCAGCACTTCACGTGGCCCCAAGGACGGGGTAGTGCCAACTCATAAGGACACCTCTGAGTCCTGACTCTCCTCTATCTCCTCTCTGGTGCAGGGCAGCAACAAATTACAATATCCCCCAACCCGCCTCAGCTGCGCTGGCCGGTGAATAGGGAATGCAGCCAAGGATCCTCCCCGTTCCCTGCCTCTTTCCATCCATCTGCTCCGAGCAAGGAATAAACAAGAACAGCCAGAACACAACGGCTGGGTAACCCAGGTGGGGTTTAAAAGTGTTTCTTACTATTCTGTGTACAGGACTGTTGTCCAAATCACAGTCACACCTGGCACTCTCAGGCAACACAGATTTCCTAATTCAGGTCTGAGTCTCCTCTGAATGTTATTTAGAGTGCAAGAGAAGAAAATCAGACTTAGTCTATTTTCATCTTATGGCAGCTTTTAGCTACAGAATAAATGGAAAAGTTAATTGCTAAATAAAAAAGAAAATAAAGGGATTGGTGGTGTAAAACACAGATGGAAGTCTGAGTGGGTGCGTTACTTTAACTTACTGTACTTGTGTTCATGCGATTCTATAAGTATATGTATGCCAAACATGTATGGTCTTAGCCTGTTTCCATTAACATGGATCTGGGTTTTTTTTTCCACTGGACTGAGGGAACCAGATCAAAGACCATGATGGTGCTAAATGGAACAAGATGTGTACTTTGGGATTTTTTTCCAAAAGGAAATATTAATTTGACATTGGTTTTTCAGTTGAAAAGAATTTTAATTGCAGTACACAATAAGCAGAAAATTCAGACAACAATAATCTTGAAACTGTTAGCAGCATTATTATGTTTCTATCAAGGAATCTTGTGTGCCTTTTCAACATTAGAGCTTTCTGAATTTTCATTAATTTGGCATTTCCCTAAACACACAAGTTATTTGGTTCATTCCACATCATGCATCACACCCTCCTGCTCAATGCATAATGCAAGCGTAAATGGGATCCTTGTCCTGGAGAGACTCTGGTTACTGGAGCCATTGCACGGATGTTGAAGTCCCGCAGTAAGACTTTCCAAAACTCTGCACTTCGCAAACCTCCAGCCCAAGTTTAACCAGTGAATGCACAGGAATACTTCATGTTCCTCATCTTCTAAGGGGCACTGGAGCACTGTGATGGGTTTAATTCCTCTACCTCTTTATGTTTGCCAGTACTAGAAACGCACCATATAAGAGTCTTTCTTGAGTACAGCTAAAGATCTTCAGATTTTCATGTATGAGGCTGATTTATATTTAAATGGACCAGAAAATGATGTGTGAGGATTGAATGCATTCCCAGAACAAACAAACGTCTATGAACCTATTTTCCATACACCTATGCACCTTACTAATGGAGGTATTGAAATTAGGATTGACTTTGATGGAGTGAATGGAGTCACAGCAGTGTAAGAGGAGAACAATTCCCCTTCTTTCCAAATCCATAGCTCTATCTGCATCTCTATGTGTATATCCATCCAATCTCACTTGATTAATCACTAACATTATTCTGACTGCACACATCTTAAACACTAACCATCTCAAGTTAGCCACATTAGGTAGACCAGCTAGTTCACCTCCAGAGACGACTTTTGGATAATTACACCAATATTCCCAGTAGCTCTCTGCCACTAGATTCCTGATGGAGATTTCATAATGAAAGCTATGAATGAAATATGGTCTGGATCTTCCTTCTCAAGGGACACTATATAAAGGAATCACGGAAGCTCAAGTATTACCAGGTGGACCATGAACTTGACAACATGCAGAACAAACAGATGATGCAAAAAAACAAATTGGCTGTTGAAGGAAAAATAAAACCCGATACATGGGAAGAATTTGTCAAGGAATTTTCATCCTTCTGTGCAAATTATTCCAGCAATTTCATTGAAATCACTATCAACAGAAATGCTATCAGCTGCTCTTTTTGTTTTTCCTAGGGAATTCTTAATTTCAAGCGTCTTGGAATTTTGATGGCTAAACTACTGTCAATCATGGTAAGTCTGTTCTATTTAGTGCTCAGCAAACTTTGTCATCAGCTGAGATATGATCAGGCTAACTGCCATCCATCAGTTTACTGTATTAGTTGCTCCAGTATACACAAAATACAACGCAGATGGAATTTCACTCATCCTAATGAAGTGCTCTTTAGTTTCTATGTTCTGAATGGATACTTGCTCCCCTGGTTGCCTTCTGAGTTCCCGTGCTCACTGATTAACTACCTGCCAGCGAGGACCTCGCTTCACAAGACTAAATCCAGCTGTGGATAACCAGTGATTTTACAGAGGAAAAACGAAAGCTCCCCCTCTATCCACTTATCAAACTACTGCATATGCATCACCAACACACACAACCAGTTTCCTCAGAACTCGACATCTGTCAGATCATCAGGAAAACAGAGCTAATCTATCCGTACCCATCAACATTGCATCATAGGTGACTGCCAGATACTTAAGAAGCTTTCCAAAAGAAATGTCACAACTCTTTTTCAAGACACTACAAAAGAAATGTTCCAAATAAAATAAAGCAAATGCACATACAAGTAAATGAGCCAAAGAACTTAATAAAAAGAGATTGATTAAAATGAGGACCAGAATGTTCAAAAAGGGCTGAGAGAGAGAGAGGTGCCAAAGGCGCATTAAATGGATTCAGTGGCTTCAGGTTTTAAATGCTTTTGGGCTCCTCAGCAATTTTTAGCCAAAAATGATAATTCAAGTTAGAATCAAAATTCTGATGTCACCTAGGGAAAAGAAGGTTGATATTTGTCCTTTGCAAATAAGCACTGCACCATTTACAAAGGAGGAATACCAGTTTATCCTGATGGAAAATCTTGCCTACAGATTTCTAAAACCAAGTGCTACGATATTCACCATTCTTTTAAAACCTACCCCATTAAAATCTGCCTTAAACCATTCGGTGCAATGCTCCCATAGAGTGTGTTCCCTTATCTGTTTGTGTCTGTGTTTACAGCATCATCTGATTGTTTTAGATCTCTTTAGATCTCAAAGCATCCCTGCTTTGTCACCCAAGTGGTTCTTTTAATAATGAACTAGTACTCAACACATTACCTATTTCTTCAAAGTGCAATTTAGTGGGGTTTACATATAAAAACTTTAATCAGAAGTGTAATAAATAGCAAGGTAACAGTTCAGTTTTCCCTTTGATTTAATGCTGGTTTCAGTATCACTTTGCACTTATAAATACATTGTAATAAGAACTACTTTTTTTTCCCAATGACGTCTTTAGACGTCTTGTCTGAAATTCATGACTGCACTTGTTTCATTTCAAATGGTATTTGGGAGTTTTTCAGCACACTTGGCAGATTAGATATAGCAGCAGGGACAAACTGCAGCCATCCATAGGAGAATATACCTTTATGTGGGTGCTTTGGGGATGGAACATCTATAGCTGCAAGGCAAAAAAATGCCATCATAAATTTGGATGGCATTTACAAAGCCCTCTAAAAAGTCTTTGCATATGATTATAGCTGAGGTATAATATTTTTGCAAGTAAAAGACCCAGAATAGATTTATGTTTCAACTATATCTTCCTGAGATGCATATGGATGCTAAATTGCAAGTGATACTAAAGGGAATTTTAGTAACTGAAGAGGATAGAGTCAGATTCCCTGTGTTTTTTTATATTATTCTTTATTTTCTCAAAAATCATTTGCTCATTATTTGCATGTCATCAAAAGACCATCGGCTACCCAGGCTATATATAACAATGATGGTTGCTAAATGCCGAAGGCATGAGATGGAGATGGGGAAATATGTAGATTTTTCCAACCTGTGACCTCAGTTACTGCATGCTAATGTTTTTAAATGACTTTTATGATGTCAAGACTAAGTTTGGTGTTCATATTGGTTTTGAAGACTTAGTCGGTGTACACTGCCACTGAACATATGTTTTAATTAATCAAAGAGCTGTGGTCCGGATTGAAAATAGCTCAGGTAATTTACCATGTACTGTAAAGTCACCTGATTTCTGCACAATTTGAGGTGAAGGGTTTATACATTATTCTGAAGAAAGCAAGAGTTGCAAACTGAATTCATGTGCATCATACCAAGCTGAAATGGATTTAGAATTTGACAGGTCAAGAGTATACTCGTGGAACTGTTATGTATTGCTATCCAGTGGTTCTGGGTCGTTTTACCGTATGACTGCCTAGGTTTGACAGTCACAGGGCTCAACAGTCATCTCATTTCTCCAAAACACAAGAAATCATTTGTAGCTGACCCACAGCTGCTGTGCTCTTTCACTGGCAAGTGTCCATTGCCAGTTGTAGCCTGGGGAGCTCCCGCTGGAATGGCGCTGCCGACCTGCCACCGGGCACCAGGGACATAAACTGATTCCCAATGGATCGGCTCTCAGGCAGGTGATATCAAATAGGAGAAATCAGCCTCATTTTTCTGCAGCCCCAATGGTTTCAGGATTCTGGGAGGAACAAAGGATCCCCCTGGAAAAAATACATGACCCTCCCATTGCAGAGAAGGCAGAGCACAGCAGTTTGGCTTTGGCATCATTTCCAAAGGAGCTGCGTATGACCGTGCTGCCTGCAGGTCTGCTCGTGTGATCTGCTCAACACCTCTCTCATCTACTGAGCAATTTAAAACACATCTGACAGAGAGGCAGAGAGGAAAAATTCCCTGCGAGTTCCATGTACACAGGCATGGGAAGGGCAGAGGTAACATGGCAGCGCTCCCTCCAGTTCTGTCATTCTGGCAAAGTGCTCAGCAGGAGTTCTCTCCTCACTAGAAACCAGAGAACCCACATGAGAGGGACACCTGGTACATCCCCCCCAACCAACACAAAATGTCTATGCACCGAGAACAAGAGCATTGGCATTGTTTGAATAAGCACACCCACCATGTAGTGCTCCGCGGTGTTCAGGGTTTCTTAGATATCCTGATTTTATAAAAAGAAAGTAAAAGAAGAAAAAAGAAACAAGGTGAGAGAGAACACTATCATATTTTGTAGCAAGCAGGATACTGTGTGAAATCTTGGCCCAGTGAAGTGATAAGGGGGAAGCTTTCAGTTTGCTTAAGGGAAAAGTTACGAGCAAATAGTAAAATTACCAAAACACCACATTGCAGCAAACGGGTGCATTTAGGTTCAATTAAGCTGTAAAAAGGAAAATGGCACTTTAGCTTATGAAAACGAAGGGACAGAGGGAGCTATCAGAAGCAACTTGATAAGATTTGTATGCATGAGGATGCTGCTTCACTGGACCAAGAAAGCTACAGTATGGGACAGGATTTTTCTTTTATTAGACACTTTGCTAGATAGCTTTGTCGAACCTCAGAGACGGCTACTCTGGCATTATGAAATAATCCTACATAACTTGATCTCATGAGCTTAGGAACACAGAAAAATAGCCATGCCAAATCAGATTACAGGGATCCACCTAGCCCGGTATCCTCTCTCTGACAGTGGCAACTAAGGGATGCCTAGAAAAAGAGTAAAAAGACCAGGGAAAGCATACAGTGGTAATTCTCCAAAATACTCTCCCAGCCTCCAATCATTTGTGATTCAAGGGCTTCTAGGACAAAGTTGATAGCATGGTATTGAAGGTACTCGAATCCAAATGCACAGATTCACACCCCCCTCCTCCCCTCTTTTGGAATTCTACCCCCATGAGATCTCTACCAGTCACACAGAAAAGGTTTCACAGTTTGGTGCTGGCAAGTCCACTGTTCTTGCCACTAACTCGGAATGAGCTAACAGCTTTCAAGCCCAATGATGTTATGTGCATAAGAGCATCCAACACTTTTTCCTGCGTTAAAAAAGTGCTATGTGTGCTGAGGTGCTCTAAGTGTAAATACTTTGGGAGATTCGATATATATATTTTTTGTTTTTTAAAAAGCAAGAATCTGGCTGTAAATTGATATCAACATTTTTCAGTATATGTGTAAAACACATGTTTCAGAAGAATAGAAGAGAGAAACTGTCACTCACTGGGAAGCTTTAGAGCTATCTGGCTCCCTGGGAAACTGCATGCAACTATTCTGGTGTCCAAGGGTTTGACCAGTGAGTTTCCTCTTCCTGCAAAGAATGAATGCAGAAGTAATAGAAAGTCTGAGGGGGACGATTTTAGCAAATGGCTAAAGATAATCCTATTCTGCCCACTCCAGCAGGTAGGAAGCAGGTGGTGGTGGTGGAAGAAAAAGGGTGGGAAAGGAGAAATGCCTGCCTTCCCCTCCCAGCAGCTGGCACAGGGGAAGGGCAGGATTCTAACCTAGGAGGGACTCGCACACTCACAGCTCTGAAATCCCTTTGTGATGCTGCATTTGATCTGCAACGATGCCGACAGGTCACGGCAGTCCCAGCACCGGCACACAATGTCAGGACGTTCTGCTCTGATTAGCTGGGGTCTTGCTGTGACTCCCTTTCAGGATGGAGCATGGCTCACCGGCACTTGGTGATTGAAACTGAGCACACTGGGCTGGCGTAGCTTCATTAACACTACCAGGCACATAAAAACCTGTATGGCCAGACTGGAACAGTGACTTCTTAAGCACTGTGATTTTCTTTTACCATCCACTTTTCAGGAGAGTTTTCTTTTTCTAAAGTTTTAATTTTCTAACCAAATTGGTGTGAATTCTTTTTACTTCATTTACAAAAAGAATCGATAAAAGTAAGGGTCTAAAATAAAAGCTTATCCTTCTGGTTTTGATGGCATATTGACTTTTAAAGGCAGGAGTGGCTATCAGGGAGTCCCTGTAAACTTTACTTAAAGCAAAAAAAAAATTAGAAAGTGATCGAAAAGTTTTAGAGAGGAGAGCAGAAATATCATTTTAAGCCTCTTAAAATTGCCTGAACTGTGAAATCAAGTAATGAACACTAGAAAAGGATCTGTCAGCTGGAATCAAAGCTTAGACTAGTCAGCATTTTCCTCCTAAACCTTATTATGGCAAAGATTTTTCATCTCTGCACTCTGTTCATCCCAACAAATAAACCGACTTGACCTCCACCTGTTAGCCGGTGAAGTCCGCTGTCATCGTTGACTAAACCCTATTCTTTCCCTTCAAAGCCCTCTGCACCACTGAGAAGGTGGGAAGACACAGCTGCGCGCTGATTTAAATTGATACCAGTTCATAACCAGACAGCATTTCACAGTACAAATTACAAGCAACAGAGGAGAGGGAAAAAAAAAAGAGGAGTCTGTAGTGCCAATGAGTTCTGGAAGGGGGCAACATTTTTCATCAATTTAACAATGAGATTTTCATACAAGTTCTTTCTATTTTTTGTGTGATTTTATGAACTAGCATTTGAGGCAAGAAGCATTTTGCTTATGCTGTTCCAATGAACCTGTGCTAACACCACAGAGGAAGAACTGGAGAACATAATGGCAGCGATTTGAGTTGCTTTAATGTCTCAGAAGTTGAATGCATTATTAACTGTTTCAAAGAGGTTCAGTTCCAAATGCCTGTGGGCTTCTAGACTCAGAAACAAGTCACAGCTATATAATGTAACATTGCTAAATAATAATAAAAAATAAGATTATGGAACACAGAACAGCAAGATATGTCATGAGGAAAACTGTAGAGCTACGGCAGTCACTTCTTCAAATAGATCGTCATGACAAAACCACGTAAGAAGGTTGCTAATACAAAGACATATCAGAAAAAAGCCATTTCATATAAAGTTGGACTTCTCTGGGTGATTAATGCTACGTTCAACAAAGGAGACAGTGTCTGTCTAATTACATTAAATACTTATCTTCTAGGGATTGGCAGGGTGTTTCTGCTCAATGTCACTTTTCATGACAATGTAATGATAGATCCGTTTACTTACCAGTGCCATTAGCAAAAATTGTACTGTTTTCTCAACTGCCCTCATATCACGAAAATATTTGATTAACACACTGTAGCTTATCTAATACTCTAAGCAACATATTCTGCATAGTTTTCTCTCTATTAAAAGAACAAGATTACAGCTTGTAAAATTTTTATTGCACTCACACAAAACTAAATGAATAATGTGTGATAGAGCTCAAGTAGCTCGCTGCTTCACAAACCAGGCTTATTTGGTTTAAGTATTAACGTGTACTTCAAATACTAAGCTTTTGGGGGTAACAAACAAAAGAAGCAAAGTCAGCACTCTGAGACACTACTTCCCATCCAGTCTTTAGTTATTAGTTCCTTCGCATTTCAGCACATCTCTTGAAACTTTTGATACCTTAGGAAACAACAACAAAAAAGGAAAATAGAAGGAGAGTTTTCATTCCTTTGTGAAAACCAGATATGGCCATCTCCCAAGCCTTTAAAATTAACCACATTGTGAGCTGCCTCTTCAGAGTCATGCTACTGTGCCAGCATAGAAAGAACAATAAACCTTTGGAAGAATGTACACAGCAAAGGCAGTTTATATAATAACAAGATAATTTCATAAGGCTATATAGAAGGGAAAGGCTGTGATATAACATTTTAGCAGTATATACCAGCTACCTGGTATTTACTAACAAGGTTAAACTACTATCTGTTTCAGAGTCTCAGCACTCTTCATAATTCACTTTTTAATGGATGGACAGGGAAAGTCAGCAGTGTACGGCACAGATTATTTTGGAAATAGGACAAGACAGCTTATGGCAGAACCTATTTCAAAACACGCCCCATCTTTCCAAATGATCACATCAAAAGTCTATCCTTAGCAACTACAGTACTCCATATCCACTCATAAATCCTTTTGAGGGGTAGATTTATATTTCTAAGTAAAACAGCAAATTTGAAAAGCAAAGGATCCTGAGGAGGAGGTGTCTCCCTCAATTGGTGCCACGTATAGTGCATCACTTCTTATTTCCTTGGTATTTGGTGCCCGTGCAGGAGAAGACACATGGGAAGGTTCCTTCAGTGAGGAGTTAGGACACCAACCCCATTTTGTTACAGCTCCTCACACTGCCACGAAATGGCAGCAGGAATGTACCCAAATGGACTCCTACAAGGCGTAACTCGACACAGCAATGCAGAATTAACCGAAACTGGATTTTAAAATCCCTTGCAAGTGACTCTTGCAGCGAGAGGATGACACCGCAGCCAACTGCCACATATGACTCTCCAAATTAATAATGGATTTAGGATATTCATTCCCTGAGCTGCAAGGGTTTGGGGTGTGCCGGCAATTATCTAGATATAAGTCTGACACACATTATCCTTCTATCAATGTCATTTCCCTTAGTAGCCAAGAGATTATCAGCAGCTTTGTGATATTCCAGGTGTCAAAGAAGAATTAAAACCACAACAATTGCACAAACAAAGGGACAAAAGACGGGATACGTGTTTCTGAGCCCTGCATATCAATTTAATATGTGCAGCTGACAATGATGCAAATGTCCTCGGGAGAGAGGCAGCAAGATCTGTGCCCAAACATACACACACCACCGTCAGCAAGATGGCAGGGAACAGAAGCAGTAGGATTCCCAGCCCAGGACACATGCCTCAGCAGGCAAAGCAACCCAATGAAACAATCCTCTGGTTGGGGAGAATTTTGGAAGCACCTGATATGGAAAAAGGCCCTAAACAAGCCAGATGGTACTTTTAGCTGGCAGCAGAAAGTAGGAGACAGCCAAAAACATTACAGCATTTCCCCAAGAGGCCAGCAAATCGATTTTTAACCATTTTTTTTTTCCAAGTGATGCAATGAACATAAAAAATAATGTTTCTATGCATTTTTAAATCGCTAATTTTATGAATAATACACTTAAGAAGGCAACAACTGGAAGAGATGAGAAAGCAACGCATTTTGACTTTCCCAGGGCGGTTGTATATTTGACATCGGGTTTCTATTCAGTCACCGCCACTGTTTACTCTGAATTAAGCATCAGGTTTTGGTCAGGGTTTTGCACATAATGTTAAAGAGAACGCTCTTGCAAGAATAAAGAAATAGCACTGCAGAAGCACAATAGCACCATAGCTGACAAGACATGGGAGAAATGTCGTTTGTAAGACTGCCTTGCTCTCTTAAAAACCTGTTCCCCAAAAAACTATTGGGGTTTTAGATGACAAGTTTTCAACCAAAAAGATTAAACAAATTCAAAGAGGGCAAGCAACTTATTTAATACTTATAAGTTCCCATTTAGGTAGGGCTTGCACAGGAAATACAACTGTTTGGGGATCCTTTCAGTTTTAAAATCTCCTAATGGCCAGAATCTGCAGCTCCTCCTGGATGACAGGACTCCGCAGGAATCAGTTTGGCGTCGGATGTCAAACCTTAACTTTGACAGTCAGAAGCAGCTCCTTGCATAGTGCCCTTAGATCAGGTGTTAGAGCAGTTTCACTCAAGGAATGGAAAAGAGATGAGGGGCAGAGTGAGGCAGAGGAGTCATGAAACAAGTGGCAATGACCATTACCCTTTGCTTAAGGTTGCACCTCACACCTTGGATTGGCCAAGTTCATAGGAAGAGCTGGGATGATGCTTTAGTTATAATTTGCTGTTATTTTGGCTAATAGTAAAGGCAAACCCTAAAACAGGGTTAAATCTGGACTACATCCAAAGTGCTTTCTCCTGTTTAGAGCAAGGTAGTGCATTAGTGTGCTGCATCACAGATAATACTCTTGGAGACAAACATGGGCTGCTGTAATAAACCGGGATGTTCCACTAAGTACAAAGAAAGATAATCCATACATTCATATATCTCTAGTCTCACTGACTGTAAATCCTTATTCCAAGTATTTCCCTCCTATAGGTGGAACTTAGCACCTTGCCTCCAGCCTTTGCTGGTATAAAATAGTCCCATTCTTTCCAAAAGCACTTGGACATGAGGACTGCAGGTACCAGCGCACTTTGGTGGTTTTCAGGGGTTCGAAGATCTGCACACAAATCCCAGCGAGGCAAATGAAGGCTATTCACAAACCACTAAAACAGCCTATAATTTTCCAGCTAATTTTAGCATTGGGATCTCTTATGTTCTGCTTTTTGGTGTGCATCACACTAAAAATAGCAGCAACCACTGATGTAAGAGAATAGCAGAAAGGATGATCTCATTAGGACCACAGGCTGGGCAAGCAAAGACGGAGGATGCTATGGATTACCTGAGCTCCCCTGAG